GCTTACAAACTCCTTTCCCTTCCCCTCCCCACAACAGACACCCTGTGAGGTAGGTGGGGCTGAGAGAGCTCTTGACAGAAACTGCTCTTTTTCAAGAACAGCTCTTGTCAGAGCTACGGCTTGCCCAAGGCCATCCAGCCAGGTGCAAGTGGAGGAGTGGGGAATCAAACCCGGTTCTCCCAGATTAGAGTCCACGCACTTAACCACTACACAAAACTACACAAAACAGCAAAACATATTAAAAACCATACATAAAGTAATCATTATGACAATGAAATATAATTACTGTAAGGTAAGACTTTTTTTATTTTATCTTTGTTTTTTTGCTGAAAAAGTTATTAATGAACTCTTCAGTTTCTCAACAGTTTTCTGCACTGCATCCGCAAGCATTTTTTCTTGTACTCTTCTTCCTTGCTTTCAATTCAGCAGTCTCTCTTTCTAACCTCCCTTTGAAATTCCTTTCTAAGAGAACTGCTACTTTTAGGTCAGCAACTGAATGTTCTGAAAGGTTAAAAATACTGATTTTGCAGACCAAAATTTTAAAACTGACCAAATACTGACAAAAAAACTTACGAATTATTGAACAATTTAATGTCAGCCTATTGGTAAGTTAGGTGGCCACAGTGTCTCAGAGGTTAAGACGCTGAGCAGTTTGAGACCTTAGTGCCGCGTTACGGAGTGAACTCCTGTCTCTGGCTCCAGCTCCTGCCAACCTAGCAGTTCGAAAACAAGAAATTTCAAGTAGATAAATAGGTACCACTTTGGTGGGAAGGAAACAGTGTTCCATGTGCCTCAGCATTTAGACACGCCGGGCACATGACCACGGAAATGTCTTTGGATAGCACTGGCTCTTCGGGTTGGAAACGGAGATGAGCACTGCATCCCTAGAGTCGGGTTTGACTGGCTTTCGAGCAAGGGAAACCTTTACCTTTTATTGATAAATTAGCCTTTTAAAAGTAAAACCAGGACTTCATTAAAAATTATTATTATCTGGCCTCCGCCATCCCCATAGCCAGCCATTGCACACCTTTTTATTGATTTTTAAAAATGAAGATAGGACAATGTTTTCATTATTGTACAAAATTTAGGGCAAAAACAGATTCCCTTTTAAAAATAATCAGATACTGCAGATCAGAAGAAGAGGAGATTGGATTTATACCCCATGCCCTTCACTACCCAAAGGTGTCTCAGAGCGGCTTACAAACTCCTTTCCCTTCCCCTCCCCACAACAGACACCCTGTGAGGTAGGTGGGGCTGAGAGAGCTCTTGACAGAAACTGCTCTTTTTCAAGAACAGCTCTTGTCAGAGCTACGGCTTGCCCAAGGCCATCCAGCCAGGTGCAAGTGGAGGAGTGGGGAATCAAACCCGGTTCTCCCAGATTAGAGTCCGCGCACTTAACCACTACACAAAACTACACAAAACAGCAAAACATATTAAAAACCATACATAAAGTAATCATTATGACAATGAAATATAATTACTGTAAGGTAAGACTTTTTTTATTTTATCTTTGTTTTTTTGCTGAAAAAGTTATTAATGAACTCTTCAGTTTCTCAACAGTTTTCTGCACTGCATCCGCAAGCATTTTTTCTTGTACTCTTCTTCCTTGCTTTCTCCACTCCTCCTAGCATGAGCTGTGTCATGTTGAATCCCACAATATCCTTTTTCTCAGTAACCTCCTTTACACGTTTGGTTGCATCACTTGACAACATTTGAACAATTATCCTATTCTTGTTCTGTTCTTGTCCCAGCTTTTTCAGTTTTGCTTCCTTCTCTTGTATACTATCCTTTTCACTGTCTATCTTCTTGAACCGTTCTAACTCCTCTGCCTTTTCACTTTCTTTTTGCTCCTTCTCTTTAATGACACACTGTTCATCACAATATTGCTTATAATGAACATGGGCTGCTCTTGCCATCTGTAAAAGTTCCTGTGATATTAACATGATATAAAGTTTCTTTGACCATCAGGTGGGCATTCAAAGTTCACTCTGACATGCTAGCCCTTTCATTGGTTGAAATCAATGCTCCCTCTAAGCTGTGCAGTCTTGTGAGCAGAAATTCTACTTTGTGAGCTACCGGTATTAAAGTTGTGAGCGAACGATTTAGCTACTGCATAAATTAGTTTGCTCTGGAGCCATCCTTCCTGAGCTAAGACAAAAATGTGTGAGCCAGAGGCTAAAAGACTGAGCTAGCTCACACTAACTCAGCTTAGAAGGAACACTGGTTGAAATGTGTCCAGATATTGAAAACCCTCTTTCTATGTTCGCACTACCATGTGATAATGCTGTTTTCACCACCTTGGTAACCAGTGGGTATTTTGGATCTCCAGATGGTTTTGTCTTTTCAAAGAACTGATTCCAGTACGTATCAATGCGACAAGTCTCACTGGCAATTTCATCTTCACATCTAAGAAGTTTCCATTCATCCACAATCATGTCCAGTGGAATATCCATCGGGTATTCCAGATGGTTTTGTCTTTTCAAAGAACTGATTCCAGTACGTATCAATGCGACAAGTCTCACTGGCAATTTCATCTTCACGTCTAAGAAGTTTCCATTCATCCACAATCACGTCCAGTGGAATATCCATCGGGTATTCCAGATGGTTTTGTCTTTTCAAAGAACTGATTCCAGTACATATCAATGCGACAAGTTTCACTGGCAATTTCATCTTCACGTCTAAGAAGTTTCCATTCATCCACAATCATGTCCAGTGGAATATCCATCGGGTATTCCAGATGGTTTTGTCTTTTCAAAGAACTGATTCCAGTACATATCAATGCGACAAGTTTCACTGGCAATTTCATCTTCACGTCTAAGAAGTTTCCATTCATCCACAATCACGTCCAGTGGAATATCCATCGGGTATTCCAGATGGTTTTGTCTTTTCAAAGAACTGATTCCAGTACATATCAATGCGACAAGTTTCACTGGCAATTTCATCTTCACGTCTAAGAAGTTTCCATTCATCCACAATCACGTCCAGTGGAATATCCATCGGGTATTCCAGATGGTTTTGTCTTTTCAAAGAACTGATTCCAGTACATATCAATGCGACAAGTTTCACTGGCAATTTCATCTTCACGTCTAAGAAGTTTCCATTCATCCACAATCACGTCCAGTGGAATATCCATCGGGTATTCCAGATGGTTTTGTCTTTTCAAAGAACTGATTCCAGTACATATCAATGCGACAAGTTTCACTGGCAATTTCATCTTCACGTCTAAGAAGTTTCCATTCATCCACAATCACGTCCAGTGGAATATCCATCGGGTAAACTGACAAATTACTGACCAAGATAAAAAAAACCTGACTTTTACTGACCATTTTCCACCCCTGGATGACATCATCTTTGCAGTTGATTTTGTTTCCTTGCCCATAAGAAATGCACAGTCGAAAGTGCTATGCCCCCCTCTAGTGGGCATTTTGTAAAGTCACTTTTCAATAGGGCTAAATTACCAATTGCTGGACCCTGTTCATCATATCCCTCAATCCCCAGTACATGGACACTTGCCAACTGATAACTATAAAAAATTGATAATTATACATCTGCAAGGACTTGTGGGGGCATCTCATTTTCTCCTCCCTCACTATTTCCTCTTTCCGTTCCCTGAAAGCCCCCATAGAGTTTTTCTCCTTTCCGGCTTCCTTTTCTTCTTCCCACCCATCAGCCTACTTACCTTTATGTGCCCCCCCCCTCCATCCAGTTTTCCCTCCTTCCCTACCCCTAGCAGCCTCTCCCTGAGAAAAGTTTGGCTAAATTGCAGTGCTGGCCCTGGGCCATGCCTAGTTGTGTGTACTTTTTTTTTTTTAAGGTTTCAGATTTCCCCATAAATCTGAGGTTTTTCTCAGGTTCATAGAAAGATCTGTTTAGTCTGATCATGGGTCCATTCCCTGAATTTAAGTATCCATAGATTTGGCCATGCTGAGAAATAGACATATTGACAAGTGGGGACTCCCTCTAACCCTTACCTCCCCCATCACTGCCACCAAGACAGGCATGTTTCCCAGCCTCTGAGGCTTCTCCACACCACCACCATCGATGCTGGTGAGACCTGCACAACACCCAGGAACCACCATGGGGCCCACTTAGGCTTCCTCCTCCCCCACCAGCAGCAAAGGGCAGTAGCTGCACAAGGCGTAGTGGGGCTCCCCACCCCCCGGTCACTGATGGCAAGCCACTTGCAGCTCCCAACTTCCATCACTGGGCCTGCCAAGGCTTCTTGCTTTCACCCACTGTTGTTGCTGCCACTGGATAGAGGAGGAAGAGGTGGTAAGTACATTGTCTGTGCATGCGCAGAAAACAATTTTATTGGCAGAGGGATTTAAACCCCCAATGCATTTTTAAACCTTTTTGAGTTTTTTCTGCAAACCTGGGGAGTCCCCCAAGTTTGCCAAACTATCTGTTCTTAGTCAGTGTAGGCCCAGTCCATGGATTTAAGTATCTGCAGATCAGCCTACACCTGACTATTAGAATTTAAGATATGTATGGGATGTTAGCAACCTGACAAGGAAAAAATTCCACTCTGTCTTCAAGTGTTCTGAAGGGCGCGTTTGAAAGCTTCTGTTTCTTGATAAAACACAAAAGCCATATTGTAAAAATCAGACATTCCTGCAGTCTTTGACACATAAAACAATTATGCATGTGGTTAAGGGCACCCCGTCCATAAAGCATCTTGCAAATTGCCATCTACCACTGTGCAAGTACAGGAACTGAATGCATATTAGCCTCCTACGAATCAAAGCTTAGTTTTTTAAGGTCTCTAGCTTTTATGACACTAAGACAGACTTGAAAGTGTTTGGTGGGGTCCAATCATATCAGGGCATTAGGAAGAACTGCTAGGGCTTCAGCCCTCTGTATAGCTTTTCCTTCTTCCAAACATTAGCAGATGTGGAATCATACAACATGAATATTTGAGCATTTGCTTCATTTGCAAAATTCATACAGGTTGCCTAGCAGGCAAAGTAGGGTCTTCAGTGATAGGAGGGGAACTTTTAGAAATCACTACCCTGTCTTCTGAGACAGAAAGTACCTGTAGGTCTTTGGAACTGCAGGCTGGGATACACGCCAGATGAATTTCCAACAAGATTTTTAGAACTATGTGAAAATCAAAACTGCTTTTCTATTTTTGTCAAAATCTTAAACAAGGAATAGGTAAGTGGGGAGATACGAGTTTCTGATGCAGTGGCATCATAAATTGAGCCATTCACTGGAATGTGCTATGAGAACCTTTATTTTATTTATTTATTTAATTCCACTTATACCCCGCCCTCCCCTTAATTTTCATTCATTTCATGCAAAATCATTCTTCTACTGTCAGCAAGATCCCAGAATATCCCCAGGTTCTGCTGACAGATGGATTTTTAAAAGAAAAAAACAAAAGCATCTGAAAATTTCACTAGCCAACGTTCACTGGAAGAACAATTCCATTTTTCAGACATGAAACTGGACATATAACTGTGGCTTGACCCTGTTCCAAGATATCAGAGGTATCCATTTACTAACTACCATGTTTATGATTAAGAGTACAATTACAGAATAAATGGCACTTATTTTATAGGACTCATGTTGAACCAATAAAATAATCCCAAAATATAAACTCTGAACTCATGAGTGGAAAGACTATATGCCTGTATTTTTCCCACGTCGTTCAGTACTGAATTCTAACAATGCTTCCCACACTTAAGAAACACTTCCACCAGCAGAAAAGGGGGAAATATTTGCTGATTCCCCCTCCAGTTGCAGAACCCCACTTTCTTCTGCCACCATGGTGGTCCCAGGGGCCAACAAACCCAGGGAGCACAGCAGCAAGAAGGGGAGACAGGATGGCTACTTCTAGAAACCCTGCTCTATTTGCACTAGATAGAATCCACCCCTTACTATTTAGGGAACCATTTGCTCATCTCTGCCAATCAAGGAAGGGAGGGTGACACAGCATCCAGTTAAGAGCCCTTGCATTTTGCCTAAAGGCTTTAGGATTACACATATTAATTACAAGACAGAAAAACATCAATGTTTCAACTTGTAACGACAGTCCCAACAGATATTATACTTACCAGGTACCATCGCAAAAAAAAAAAAATTATTTGTGTTACCACTTTACCATGTATAAATCTTGCTCCCTTCCATGACATAAAAGCAATACACACACACCAGTTGAACACCAGATGGTGTGATGCCCCAGTGAACACAATCATTCCCTCAGTTTGAGAGAGAAGGACAATGAACTGGGCTATCTTATATAAGGCTTCTGCATAGTATATTGGATCAAGCTTAATGTCAAGGGTGTATACCTGCTTCAGCACCACCATCACCCAAATGGACTAAGCCTTAGTAGATGTATATGTAAATTAATATCTCCCTGAGGATTTACCAGAATCTCTGGATAACTGGAGGAAATCTCCTTTCCCATTTTGCAAACTGAAATGCTTATGGAAGATGAGGCACAGTTACCTTTTAAGAGCTGTGGGTATTTGGTGTGAACCAAGTTGGTGAGGTCGCCACCATCATCTAGAATCATATTCAAGGGCTGTCCATCCTTAAAATGGAGGGTCTGCTCAATGCACCATACATACTCCTCATCTGTTTCCCCTTTCCATGCATACACTAGAACCAAATCAAGCAGAGAAGTTCATTAAAGTCAAGCCTTAGAACAGTTTTAGAGCCAAACAAATGGAGAGGCTATCCTGGTAGTCTGCAGTAATCTTCCTTCAGGCAACAAGAAGAGACTAATCTCTGCCTAATAGCCAAAAATCAAAGTAGTTCAGTTATGTCTGAAGAGAAAAGGATATTTTGCCTCTGAATGTTAAGACCTTAATCAAAAACCATCAGCTTCTCTTGGATGCAAACACCAACATGCACGTATGAATTTAATTTTTTTTAAAAAAGCTCTTTGCCCCAAGGGACTTAGCATCTCAAATTTGACAAAGGGGAGACAAAGAAGGAAAGGAGGAGGATCTAAAGATAAATAAGAATGTTTATCTCCAGTTATACATTGTTTGTTTCAAAAGATGATTCAGGACTGAAGTGTTGGTGTCTGAGGTCTCACAGACAAGGTGGGCTGTGAGCAGAGATGAGAAGGAAGGGTGTGGTGGCATGGCTATGCTGCCTTGTTTTCTAACCAGAACAGCTTCAGGCCTCACCTTTTTCAAGCAAGTGATTTAAGGAGGTATGGAGAACTCCGGAAGTAACAATGTTGTCTCGTTCTTCACACTTCACAGGCACCTGAAGTAGCCATTCATCATACAACATGCCCAAACACGTAAGTCCACATTTTGAGAGGCACTACAAGCTAATGCTCTGTGTATCTTTCCTTTTGTACTTGAAGAGCTAACACAGAGGATAATTCTGCCTCCAATCTCCACAGTTGCTTCCCATATCATATCTAATATACATTTATACTCAGATCGACCTTCAATCATTTCAAGAAACTCAGAAACATATTTAAGTTCTTTCGGAAGAATACACCACTACTTCAGGTTTGGTTGGTATTATATTGACCCTTAGTTTATTCCAAGACTTGCAAGACAAAATCCCTAATACTTATTCTACACTACAGGCTTCGATCTACCAGTACTTTCCATTGTGTGGAAGGGATTTCAATTTGCAGAACACAACTTCCTTGCATTCCCCTTCTACTGCAGTCCCAAATGATCCTCACAATACTGTTTTCAGGCGACAGGAAGTACCCAGGAACAGCCCGGGGGGGGGGGTGCCATTGCTGTGCTGTGGGATGGGGGAAAGCAGTAAAAAATGCCTACTTCCATCAGCAGAAATTCTCCATGAATGCAACACAGACCTTAGTAGTTTAGAATTCAAAAGAACACAACTATTAATCTGATTGTAAGTTAGGTGCTGGTCTTGACACACCAGTCTTCCTGTGGGTATACAGTCTATTTATATTCTTATGTTCCCATGTAGCTATGAAAAAAAATTAATACTTTGTCAAAGAAAAATTCCCTTTTGTAAAGTAATCATAGGTAATTGTTTTGCTTAGTTCAGAATTACAATCCTTTAACTAGTAATATACAGTTTGCCTTTTCTATCTGAAAAATTCAAATATTTGTGTGTACTCAACTTCTTTGCCCTGTAGTTGCAAATTGTTTTGTGATGTGGGGACTTCTGATTCAACACATGGGTGATCAAGTAATTTTTTTTAATGAAGGCTGAACTAAGCCTATCAACCATTATTTTAATGTTATTGGACATTACTGATCAGACAAACAAATACGATCTTTCTCTTCTGATGAAGTCAGTACCTGTGAACTTTGATCCTTTTCTTTGGTTACACATGTCCCTGCCTCAGTTGCAAATACTTTAGAGTTCACAAAAAGAAAAGGCAACATTGCTGTAACCAAAAGAGCCAGAGAAGAACTTGAGAGGTCAACTGACACTGTGTTTTGAGCAATATTTCATGACATCGTGCTGATGTCAGCTTCCCACCAGTATTTCATAGGTGTGTTATAGAAGAAGCTTCACACACACACATTACCTTGTTTCAACTTTCTCTAACTTCCACGCATTCAACATGGGATGTTTAAATGCAGCCCACGGGCATTTGTTTTATAGAGGGCAGTCAACAAGCAATGGTTAATACTGGTGGTATATGCAAATAATTCCATCAGATGGGCCACCTGACAGAATAACCAGTCAGCAAGTGAAGTGTTTGATGTTACTGATTTTACATTGCTGCTTTTTAGAAAAGTTACTTTGGGGCTGAAAGCACATGGAACATAGGGTCTGAGGACCCACCTTGCCCCTGCCATTGTAGGTGAACAGTGGCTTCTGTGGAGCAGCAATGCACCCTACCCAAGGAACAACTCTGCTAGCACTTTCCAAATCCACAACACTTATCAATGTCAGAATGAGCATGCATCATCCTGCACTACACAAGGTTATTCATAAGTATTTTCATTCTGTAGCTTACTCTTAAGATCTATGTTTTCACTCTAAACTAACCTGAAAGCAGCATTGGCCTGTTTAGCCTGTTTAGCCTGGTAACTCCAGCACTTCTCGCTAGGGAGACTGATCTGTAGAATTCTGTCTTGTCAGCCCCACATTCAGGCTGAAAACTCTTTCCACATAGGGAAGCAAAACAACAACATTTCTTCTGCTCTGATGCAAGCAGGACAGCCTGCTCCTTCATGTCATTTGACAGTCAGTGGACCAAGCAAAACAAGTTACCAGGAAATTCGATTATTAATGCAAAATGAATTTTTTTTTTTACCAGGAACTCCAGTTTTGGCAATAGCTGCAGCAGCATGATCTTGAGTGGAGAAAATGTTGCAGCTTGACCACTGCACCTGGAACAAACAAGCCCAAGCACATCCATAAACACTAAGCTTTAATTCCGCCCCCCCACCCCCCTGGAACTAAAAAAAACCCCAACAGCTTAGGACAAAAAAATCAGGAAGACACTCATTATCAATTATCAGATCAGGAAGCTAATGTGCTTTGTAGGAAACTTCATGGACAGAAATGCAACCCAACAAAGCAAGCAACTGTTAAGAAGCCTGCCTCTACAAGACTTCTAGAATGCTTTCTGCACAACCTGGTTTTATTTTGCCTGCTTTTCTACTGAAGTAGCACTCAAAGGGAGCTTCCAGATAAGAATAAAAATTAACAGAATTAAAAGCTGCAGTCTTAAAAATGGCAACTTGCAGCAGCACAACCCTCACCATAAAATCTGTACTACAGTAAGCAAATGATCCTAAAATAAAGCAAGCAATAAAAATAGTATTAAAATGACAGTAAAAATAAACAGCAGAACTTCAGAGAATCGGTTCACCAAATACCCTCCAGAATAAGACAGTTTGTACAGATCATCAGAAAGCCAAGAGCAAGGCAGCAAATTCCAAATCTAGGGGCCACTATGGAAAAAAACCTGTTCTGTGTCCCACCAACTTCAGCTCTGATTACATGAGCACACAGAGCACAGCACCAAAGCGCAGCCCCTGACCACAAAGCGTTGTATACGGGCTGAGTGCTCTCAATCCACTAAGCAGCAACTGCAAAACAATTTGGGGTCGGGAGAAAAGAATTAGCATTGTGCCAAATCTTTATTTCTCTCACCTGCATAATCCCACCATTCCTCCACAGAGCTCAGTGCAGCTTATGTGACTCTCCCTTCGCCATTTTACCCCCCAAACCATCCTGAGAGGAAATCAAGGCTGACTGGCCACCCAGCAAACTTTACACTACAGTGGGGATTTGAACTTGCATCTCACAGACCCTAGATCACATTCTGACCACTATACCAGGCTGGCTCACAAAACAGCATCTTGATGTGTCTTCCACCTTTGGATCTCAAGCACACTTAAGAGACTAGCTGTATGTATAAAAGGCTTCCACACACTTGTCCTAAAAGGATATCTCTTCAGGGGAGGGGCCATGGCTCAGTGGTAGAACATCTACTTGGCATGCAGAAGGTCCCAGGTTCAGTCTCTAGCATCTGCAGCTGAAAGGACCATGCACTGGGTGATGTGAAAGACCTCTACCTGAGGCCCTTGCAGCTGAAAGGACCAGGCACTAGATGATGTGAAAGACCTCTACCTGAGGCCCTGGAGAACCACTGCCAGTCTGAGTAGACAATAATGATCTTGATGAACCAATGGTCTGATCCAGTGTATTTTTATTTTATAAGAGGACTCTTTCCTTGGCAGTACTGAGTATGCAGTGTCTGACTCCACCTTGAACCACAATATTCAAGGGCTTATTACTCGCAAATGTTATCAAGGGAACCTGTAACTTTACCTCAGCACCCAGGGCTATCAGAGTTTCAATCAGAACTGCAGTCTGCACAGTCATGTGTAGGCAACCAGCAATTCGTGCTCCTTTCAGCGGCTTTGATGCAGAATACATCTCCCGCATTTTCATCAGCCCTGGCATCTCATTCTCAGCAATCTCAAGGGCCTTGCGACCCCAGTCTGCGAGGCTGATGTCAGCTGTAAGTAGAGAGAGAGAAACAGGTGGTTGGAACACACACACACACAAAGCTATGGTTCATTCAGGCATCCTTATTAACATTGACAGCACAACTGCTACAAAGCTATAAAGAAACATACCGTACAGCAGCTGGAAGAAAGAGAAGGCCTTCTTGATTCCCTCTCAAAGATGACTACTCAACGGATTATGCTTCTGTGGTCCTAGATGATGAAGCATTTCTATATTCTGAATACATTTTCACAGCCATACCTTTGATGTATAGGTGGACCAACACCACAAAGCATCCTTATTGACATTGACAGCACAACTGCTACAAAGCTATAAAGAAACATACCGCACAGCAGCTGGAAGAAAGAGGAGAAGGCCTTCTTGATTCCCTCTTAAAGATGACTACTCAACGGATTATGCGCCTATGGTCCTAGATGATGAAGCATTTCTATATTCTGAATACATTTTCACAGCCATACCTTTGATGTATAGGTGGACCAACACCACAAACCTCAACAGTTGCACCCTTCCAAATTCACTGACTTCAAAAGATTTCAAAGGGCGTAACTCTGCTTAGGATAGCATCACACATTAAGCGTAGAAGTCCCTAAGCTGTATAAAATGACAGCTTGCACGAAAGAATATTTGTTTTGCTGAGTGTCTACAGAGGTTTAGCTCATGCATATTATATAGAATTGTCACACTCCAAAATAAAGAGGTATTTCTAAAGATACAGAACACCTGTCAGCTCTGCAACATCCAATGGCCGAAATCTTTTTTTTACAATGAATATTCTTAATAAATACAGCTTGTGTTTTTCAGTCCTGTATATTTAAAATCCCCCCCCTTCCAACAATCCTATGAAGTCTGGAGAAGTATTTGAAGGATAAGCACCATGCACAAGAGCCAGTGTGGCACAGCAGTTAGTGTCTCAGACTAGGACCTGGGAAACCCAGGTTCAAACCCCCAGACTGCCATGGAAGCTCACTGGGTAACCCTGGTCCAGTCACTCTCTCAGTCTAATTTACCTCACAGGGTTATTGTTGTGAGGATAAAATGGAGGAGATGAGAACGATACCAATGTAAGCTACTTTGGGTCCCCACTGGGGAGAAAGTCAGGGCAGTAATGAAATAGAAACAATTCATGTCCTACTACAAGCTTTTGTCTCTTAAATGAGGTCTCAGGTTTGTTCTTCGCCCCAATTCCTTCCCCTTTCAAAAAAGCTGTTGAAGATATGATTGCACCATTGTTGCTTAAGGCATACATGCAATTTCCCGTCTCTTTCTGAAGTGCTACAAAAACTTTACCGCTACAAAGATCTTATCTTTATAATTCTTCTGCTGAGAACCTTTGTTCAAGGATCCATTTGGACCTGAGATAATAGAACAGAGTGGGGGATATACCTGATTCTCACACAACTATCTCAGGGAGCTCCTGTTCTAAGATCCCGCATTTATCTTCCTTCATTGTGGCTCTTCCTGGAATCCGGGTTCTAGATTAAAGGTGTCTTCCTTGTGAAATTCCCAGATGCATCTGGCTGGTCACTGCTGGAAACAGAATGGTGAACTAAACAGCCTTTCACCTCATCCAGCAAGACTGTTCTTATAGCGCTTTTACAGAATATGCATTTATTTAGTGTTAGACTAGATGGGCCATTGGCCTGATCCAACATTGGCTTCTCTTATGTTCTTATTAATGGCATCTCCTTCCTTCAGCTGCTCAAAGAATCCAGCACCTGTCTTATCCAGGCATCTGAATCTCAAGCAGTTGCAAGAGCCAACCAAAAGTGAAAACCATAATGGGAATGGGGGAAGAGAAGGAATAGTATAAATTCATTTTACCTTCCCCCTTTCCTTTGCTCTTCCATCCCTTAGTAAATGGGATTTCAAATGAATTTTAGAAATACAGAAAGGCACCACACTGCAGGTTACCGATGAAACCCACAAGAAGCTATTTCCTTCAGTGGTTTTCAGTAACTGGAACAGAAGATTTGGCTGCAAAAAAGTCAGGTCTTATGCAGATCCTGATGGCTTTTTTTAACAAAAGAAAAAGAACATTTTAAGTACTCAAATGTGGATGACACAGGAGTTTTAGGTACATGCCCGGGGGGGGGGGGGGGGGAGAATCAACCAGAGAGCCAGCATGGTGCAGTGGTTAAGAGCAGCTGACTCTAATTTGGACACCGGGTTTGATTCCCTACTCCTTCACATAAAGCCTGAGTGACCTTCAGCCAGTCACAGTTCTCTCAGAACTCTCTCAGCCCCACCTCTCTCACAAGGTGTCTGTTGTGGGGAGGGAAAGGCAATTGTAAGCTGCTTTGAGACTCCTTAGGGTAGAGAAAAGTGGGCTATAGAACCTACTCTAACCACCCCTTCAGGCCATTCTAACCAACATCCTTCATCACAGCATCTCCTTATGCCAATAGACCTTGATCAGAATTTAATGGTTAATTCCCTTTTGGTTCCCTTACAGCTTACACTGGTATTTCATTAACCCAAGTAATTTGTTTCATCAGCAACTTCTGCTGCCCTTTGTGGTTCAGACAGCTCCCTCGGTTGCCATTTCTGCTAGACAGACTCAAAAGCAAAGAAATACCCAAGGATCTAGGACTAAAGTCCTTCCAAAGTCTTATTTCCCAGATTCATGGGAGTTTCCTAGGAACCAACCTAAGAGAGCGCCATCTCTGGTTAATTTTACAGGGTTTTTGAAAAGGCACAGAAGTGCTGATGCAAGCTACTTCATAGATAAAGATGAGCCTCAACTAACTCTACAGTAGTTTCCCCCCCCCTTTTTTTTAAAAAGCAAAACACCAAACCATCAGAGCCTTTTCAAGATATCAATGAAAAACAGTGTGAAATTTGAACAAACAAAACCTCACTCATTTGTGGCTTCCACACATTGGCATATTTTTTGCTCGCAAGACTCCACAGCTTAGAGGGAACATTGCACCAAACCATCAGAGCCTTTTCAAGATATCAATGAAAAACAGTGTGAAATTTGCAACAAACAAAACCTCACTCATTTGTGGCTTCCACACATTGGCATATTTTGACCAGATAGCTATACAGCTTGAGACTCTTGAGACACACAAGTGATTTTTTAGCAATTCTATACTATAGTGACTAATATACTGGAAAGCATTTAGGCCTGGAAGCTTCTCCAGTTTTGCAGCACGACTGTACTTTCACTATCCAGTTCTACTGCCCTTTCAGATACATGACAAGACTCCATGTGCTTAATAGGTCTCCTAGCCAGTGTAAGTGTCAGACTAGATTCCAAGAGAAACCAGTTCAAACCCCCATTGTCAGTGAGTAACTTCAAGCCAGTCATTCCCTGTCAGCATACCACTACACAAGGATGCTGGCGAATACAGCAGAACAGGACCAACACACGTACTCCTTTGATAAAATGAACATAAGAACATAAGAGACGCCAATGTTGGATCAGGCCAAAGGCCCATCCAGTCCAACACTCTGTATCACACAGTGGCCAGAAATACCAGTGCCATCAGGAGGTCCACCAGTGGGGCCAGGACATTAGAAGCCATCCCACTGTTACTTCCTTTTATCCGTTCTAACCCGACCGCTCAGCAATTTCATGGAGTGCCCACGGGTTCTTGTATTGTGAGAAAGGGAGAAAAGTACCTCTTTCTCTACCTGCTCTTTCCCATGCATAATCTTATAAACCTCAATCATGTCACCCCTCAGTCGTCGTTTCTCCAAGCTAAAGAGCCCTAAGCGCCTTAACCTTTCCTCATAGGGAAAGTGTTCCAACCCTTTTATCATTCGAGTTGCCCTTTTCTGCACTTTTTCCAAAGCTATAATATCTTTTTTAAGGTGTGGTGCCCAGAACTGCACACAGTATTCCAAATGAGGTCTCACCATTGATTTATATAGGGGCATTATTATATTGGCTGATCTGTTTTCAATACCCTTCCTAATAATCCCCAGCATAGCATTGGCCTTCTTTATTGCAGTCACACACTGTCTCGACATTTTCAGTGAGTTATCTACTACAACTCCAAGATCTCTCTCTTGATCAGTCTCTGCCAGTTCAGACCCCATCAATGTGTATTTATATTTAGGATTTTTGGCTCCAATGTGCATCACCTTGCACTTGGCCACATTGAACCCCATTTGCCATGTTGACGCCCACTTGCCCATCTTTGACAGATCCCTTTGGAGTGCCTCACAATCCTCACTGGTTTTCACCACCCTGAACAACTTCGTATCATCCGCAAATTTAGCCACTTCACTGCTTACTCCCAACTCCAAATCATTAATGAACAAGTTAAAAAGCAGTGGACCAAGTACTGATCCCTGCGGTACCCCACTGCTTACCCCCCTCCACTGAGAGAACTGCCCATTTATACTCACTCTCTGTTTTCTATTAATTAGCCAGTTTTTGATCCATAAAAGGACTTGTCCTTTTGTCCTTTTATGTGAGGACTTGTCCTTTTGTGTGAGGACTTGTCCTTTTATCCCATGATTTTTTAGCTTACTTAGGAACCTTTGATGAAGAACTTTATCAAAAGCTTTCTGGAAGTCAAGGTAAACAATATCTATTGGATCCCCCTTGTCCACATGTTTGGCAATGGATCAGTACAATAGCCTTCTTCACAAGTTAAAAGTGAATGCACATACAGTCTGTGTACAGTGGACACTTGATTTTTTCCTTTATATGTGAGGTAGAACTTGGAAGCTAAGTAGGGTCAGTCATGGTTAGTACTTCAGTGGAAGACCACCAAGAAAGACTGGGGTTGCTAATGGATGAAGACAATGACAAATCACCTCTGCTCATTTCTTGCCCCACGGATAGGGTTGCCACAAGTCAGTTGTGACCTGAAGAGGCACCACTTTCTCCTAAATAATTCTCAAGTTATATTCAACATATGTAGAACAGAATGTGCAATTGAACACCTATGTTTTTTCAGCTTCTGGTTCCTGGTTTAATTTGAAAAGTCAAAATGCCTTGGTTATCTTGAACAGATGTGCACACATATATGCGATCCCTGAAACATGCAAACAGGGGCAAACGTAGCTCTCTTTATTAATGGTGGAGGCACTCAGAAGAAAGTCTAAACCAAACACACTATTTAGGAAGAGGAATGAATTGGAAAAATAACTCTAGTTGAAACAGAATAAGGTTTTTTCCAACTGAGGAACAGTCCACCGATAAAGAGAAGTTTTCCTTATAGTCACTGCTCTTCGTTTGAGTGCAAAGGCCAATGCGGTCGTGACTTTGCAAAATACCTGCTTTTACGCAACTGGACAAACTGTGTGTCTTTTTATTTATTTTTGAAAGGGACAACTCTCAACTCTGACGCACCTCTTGAAGCTCATTTCAAAATAGCCTAGCTCCTCTGTAACGCGGACTATTGGCAGACATCTCCAGTGTGCTGAGTATAGTAAGAGGCCAGCGGCAGCTTGACAGCATGGTCCCTGAAAAAATTATAGGAAATGTAGTCTCCGCGTACACTAGACTACATCACACTCCGTCTATCTGTGAATCCAAGGTACTACAACTCCCAGAAGCGACTGCTCCCGCCAGAGGCCACATGGAGTTTGCTCAGAGGCTTAAACGCCAGCTACTCACGCTGAAGTCCGTTTGTAAAAAAGCAAAAATAACAAACACATACACACGGACCAAAACAGAGCTAGCATGAATAGCTACTTTTAATGGCCAAAACCACTGTATAAGGAAGGCAGTTCTGCGCGTGCACGTGGCTTCTAAGTGGAAAGAATCAACGTAACACCCCTGGGGCATAAAGATGCACGCCGCTTATAGACGTCCGGTTAAACGAAACAATCTGTGGTGGAAGCGAACCATCCACGCCGCCCAAGCCAACCCCACGGGAAACTGAACTTGGAAGTACCACCACCTGGACGTTTGTGATTATCCAGGCTACCTTCACAGGCCTTGCACGGTGGCAGCTCCCCAGCCCCCAGGAGGACAGGAAGAAAACCACTTACCAACTTTGTAGGGCAGCTTGTCCGACATCCTGGAGCTTTTGCAACCCGAGCACGATAGCGCTTGAGCAAGAGGAGGGGCGAAAGGTGGCGGGAGCCGGCTGGCGGCAAAAGGCTGGCTTTAAATAGACTCGCCTCCTTTCACAATTGTGTGAAGCCGTTTCCACCAATCCCCATGCAGGCCATGAGGTGGGCGTGGCCCTGGAATGCGCAGAAGGCTCGCCGGTGCTCACGTTAAGCACAGCGCTTCGGTAGGGGTGTGTGCTACTAGTACTGACGTCGGGGGCGGTGCCTCGGAAGGTGTCACGCGTCTTTGCTGGTGCCCTTTGGTTCAGAGCGGTGCTTGTTGTACCCCTCTCTCCCTCCCTCAGCCTTTTGTGGCGGCATGTGCGCCTCCTGAAGGAACGAGGCTTAGCCCTGTAGAAGGAGAGAAAGTCACAGATGGCTTTAAAAGAAAACTAATGGTCCCTGAATGATCAAGGATCTCCAGCTTTTAAAAAAGCTGTTTCCAATAAAAGGCAACTGTGATTTTTTAAAACATTGTCTATCAAGCCAACACTGTCCTTAAATCAAGACCACTGTGCCATAGCGATGTAAGAAGAGCCCTGCTGGATCAGACTAGTGAATTCCACAATTTAATTGCTTCTTGAGTAAATAAGTATTCCCTTTTGAAAGCTTTTGACAGGGTTTCCCATGATGTTCTGATGGATAAACTAGAGAACTATGGACTGGACCCTAGGATAGTTAGGTGGATAGGGAACTGGTTGGAGAGCAGTGCCCAAAGAGTACTTGTCAATGGCATTTCATCATTGGAAGGAGGTATCCAGTGGTGCCAGTGGGCATGGTTCTGGGCCTAGTACTTTTCAATATTTTTATAAATAATGAGATCTAAACACACTGGAAAAGTGGGCTGATGTGAACAAGATGCAGTTCAATAAGGATAAGTGCAGAGTTTTGCATTTGGGTAACAAAAACGAGAAGCACGCATACTGGATGATGGACACACTTCTGGATAGCAGTCAGTGAGATACAGTGGCAAAAAAAGGCTAACGTGGTGTTGGGGTGTATCAACAGAGGCATAATATCCAAGTTACAAGATGTCACTTGGATGTCCCACTGTATACTGCATTGATCAGGCTGCACCCTGGAGTACTGTGTGAACACAAGAACATAAGAGAAGCCAATGTGGGATCAGGCCAATGGCCCATCTAGTCCAACACTCCATCGCACAGTGGCCAGCAGTGGGGCCAGGACACTAGAAGCCCTCCCACTGTTGCCCCCCCCCAGCCTGAGAGTCCCTATCTATACCTTGTGGCTAATAGCCACTGATGGACCTCTGCTCCATATGTTTATCTAATTCCCTCTTGAAGCTGTCCATGCTTGTAGCCACAGCCACCTCCTGTGGCAGTGAATTCCAAGTGTTAATCACTCTTTGGGTGAAGAAGTACTTCATTTTATCTGTTCTAACCTGATTGCTCAGCAATTTCATTGAGTGCCCACCGAGTTCTTGTATTGTGAGAGAGGGAGAAAAGTACTTCTTTCTCAACCTGTTCTATCCCATGCATTATCTTATATGCCGTCTTTTCTCCAAGCTAAAGCGCTGTCGTTTCTCCAAGTTAAAGAGCTCCAAGTATTTTAACCTTACTTCATAGGGAAAGTGTTCCAACCCTTTTATTATTCTAGTTGCCCTCTTCTGCACTTTTTCCAATGCTATAATATCCTTTTTGAGGTGTGGTGACCAGAACTTTACACACTACTCCAAATGAGGCCGCACCATCGATTTATAGAGGGGCATTATGATACTGGCTGATTTGTTTTCAATTCCCTTACTAATAATCCCCATCATAGTGTTGGCCTTTTTTATTGCAGTCGCACACTGTCTAGACATTTTCATTGAGTTATCTACTACGGCTCCAAGATCTCTCTCTTGGTCAGTCTCTGCCAGTTCGGACCCCATCAACGTGTATTTATAGTTAGGATTTTTGGCTCCAATGTGCATCACCTTGCACTTGGCCACATTGAATCCCATTTGCCATGTTGACGCCCACTGACGCCATATTGACGTGTGCAGTTTTGGATGCCTCATGTCAAAAAGGATATGGTCAGACTGGAGCAGATGCAAAAGTGACAAGAGTGACAAGGATGATCAGGGCCTGGAGCCCAAGCCCTACAAGCAAAGGCTAAGACACTTGGGAATATTTAGTCTGGAAAAGAGGCAGTTTAGGGGGGATGCAATTGCTCTCTTTAAGTATTTGAAAGGCTGTCATTTATAGGAGGGTAGGGAGCTGTTCCTGCTGGCAGCTGAGAATAGGACTCGCAATAATGGTTTCAGATTACAGAAAGAGAGGTACCAGTTGGATATTCAAATTACAGAAAGAGAGGTACCAGTTGGATATTATGTTGTTGTTTTACAGTAAGAGTTGTGCAACAGTGGAATCAGCTGCCTAAGGAGGTGGTGAGCTCCCCCTCACTGGCAGTCATTAAGCATCGGCTGGATGAACACTTGTCAGGGATACACTAAGCTGGTCCTGCATTGAGCAGGGGTTGGACTCGATGGCCGGTATGGCCCTTTCCAACTCTATGATTTGATTATTCTTTTTCTTTTTTCTAAACCAAGAAATTCCAGGCTCTCCAGCCTTTCCTCATAGGAAAAATACTCCAATCCCTTATTCATCTGGGTTCTGTACTTTTTCCAGCTCCAGTCTAACCAGCTCTGCAATGCCCTTTTAGAGATATAGAGACCAGAACTGCACACAGTACCCATTTTCAAGGGCACTATAATATTTGGCTGTTTTTAGATTCTTTTTCTAATAATCCCCAGCACAGAGTTTGCCTTTTTCACTGTGGCCACACAGTAAGTCAGCATTTTCATGGCACTATCAACCCAATATTTCTTTCCCTCTCAGCCAGTTCAGATCCCATTAGCATATATCTAGAGTTGGGATTTTTTAAAAATTCCAGTGTGCATCACTTTACACTTACCTACAATGAACTTCACTTGCCATATTTTTGCCTATGCTTCTCTCCAGCATGCGGGCTAGCAAAGTGGGGCTAGCAGGGTGAACAGCCATGACTGTGCTTCTCCTTATGGGCTAAGCAGGACAAAGCTGGGCACTGCTGGGCATGTGCTTCTTTTTGCCAGCCTGGGCTGAATGGAACTGGGGGAGAGGGGGGAGCCACTTCCATGTTCCTCCTTGCTAACAGTACTGAACCTGTGCCTAGGGTTGCTAGCCTGCAGGTGGGGCCTACAGAGCTCTTGGAATTACAGCTGGTCTCTATCCAGAGATCAGTTTCAATGGAGAAAATGGCTGCTTTGGAGAGTTGACTCTATGGCATTACACCTCTGCAGTCATTCCCCTCCATAAACACTGACCTCCCCAGCCTCCACCTGCAAATCTCCAGGAATTTCCCAATCCAGAGTTGGAAACTCCTGTTTCTGGCTGCACTGCAGCGGTGGAGGTGGGGCTCAGAGCAGCAGCACATGGGGCCCATCTGTCCCGGGTTCTGTTAATAGTAAAATACACACACACACCCTTTTGAACCTTTCGTCTATCTTACTCACATTTCCCTTGAATTATCCAGATATAAAGAACCCAGGCATAGATCCAAAACATGCCTTTTTATATTTGAGAATTTTACTATGATTGGAAGAAGCTGCATTTGGTGAACTGTGCACTTATGCAGCTCATTGCTATACATGTTTACCTGGAAGTAAATCCCAGAGATTTTACAAGTAAATGGGCAGAGAGTTGCAGCCTTAAAGGAGCAGGCTCTCTCTCAGATCTGGCAACAGCATCAAGTTTGCCAGCTATAAAGTTATGGTTCCTGGGTACAACAGAAAAAATATATGGGCACTAATAAAGAATCATACAGTTTAAGCAACCATTCTGGCCCAAGAGCTGAAAAAAATGAAACGTATACCTGTGCTGACCTGGATGGCCCAAGCTAGCCTAGTCTTGCCAAATCTCGGGAGCTAAGCAGGATCAGCTATGGTTAGTGTTTGGATGGGAGACCACCAAGGAAGTCCAGGGTCGCTACACAGAAGCAGGCAACGGCAAACCCCTCTGTTCATCTCTCTCCTTGAAAACCGTATGGGGTTGGGTATGACCTGACAGCACTTTCCACCATCACCTGTGAAGATGCTGGTGTGCTAGCAAACAAAGGGGTGGGGGAAATGAGGAGTGTATTTGCCCAGACACACTTGGAGCAAGCCAAACTCCAGCACTGCAAGCACTCACCATAGACTCAACTGGGAGTTTTGCAGGTCTGGGAGGCGGTGATCAAACTAAGCCAAGCCTGTTGCCTTCCTCTGGCCCCAGAGGTGCTTCCACTCCCTCAGCTGCTTGAGTGCCAAACAAAATGGTTTGGTGTGCCACTACTGGCACATGTGCCAGGGTTGCCTAACTGAATCTAATGTGTAAGCATATCACATACTGTGCAATATCCAAGAGTTGTATCCTGTGCAATACTGCATAAGATTCTGGGAGGTCTCTCAGATAATACATTATAGCCAGTTGGAGAAGCATAATAGCTTGGATTGCTTTATTCATACAGTAGTTGAATCAAGACCACTAGATGGCTTGAGGAAAGAGCATGCAAAGTTCTAGAACATGAAACATCTCCTTTCTAATCCTCTTTGCTCCTTCTGTCAGCCAGGCTGACACTAACATAAGCTGCTGCTGCTTTCAGCTTATGCTGCCAGCATGAATCC